TGACGTGAGACCTCGATTATTTCATCCTATCCTCTCTTATATATCGTATCATATCATCCGATCCTTGATTATACGACATTCTATAATATATTAACCCTATATTGTTCCGTCTTGTGAAAAGGTCAGGATTTTCTAGTCAATCAGATAAAAAAGTACAAGTACGGAAGAGAAGCCGTCTTTATCTTTCCCCAACGTGTACTATAATTAATTGCCTTATCCGCTTTTTACGGATGCCTAGCCTATCATATTGTATCCTACTATACCATATACTCGCCTATGCCATCCTGTGGACACTACTCCATTATATTTTGAAATATTCTATTTGTTGTATTGTTTCGCAGCTATATATGAAATGAGTTGGCAGCGATATGAAAATGAGCCTAACCTGACTGACCTGAATCAAAAAAAAAAAAAAAAACAAATCATGATAAATGAGATTAAAGTTTTGCTATAAAACAATAAATCAAGTATTGACGATTGTTTTCAGTTCTACCTTGTTATGCATTGTTTGCTTGCTTGCTTTTAGCTTACTAGGCAATGTGACATATTATCTGGACCTCGTCATCGTAGTGATGAAGAAAACTTGCCCATAATACATTTACTGATTTAAGCACTGACGCACACACACACACACACATAGCCATCTTAATTGCACATAATTGCTTGCCAAGACTCTCAGTCTTCCGCATATAGAGAAACTCCTATCATATTTTCATAGTAAGTCATTTATGTAGTTTTTATTGGCAGTGAATTTTCTTAGAACATTTGTTATCATTGAGTGTATAAAACAAAAAAAAAAAAAAGAATTAATATTTGTAATTCTACAATCAATGATTCTACAAACACATATGCGCGTAAATAAACATTAATATGTTTGGCAAAAATAGAAACTCTTTACGTGAGGAAGTAAGGGTTGTTGGTTTCTTGCATACAAGCTAGAATTTTATATCCCTTTCCTCAGTTTAAGCGTAGCTCAACAAAAGTGTTGACACTAATCATATATATATGTATGGGTAATTCCATACCAAATATTCAAATGATTTATATAAAGACCTTTCAATAGAAATGGATGTAGATAACCAAAACAGAGGAGAGTGAACAGCAGAGGCATGAACTTGGACGCTCAACTTTCGTTACAACTTCTTTGATGCTATTCCTAAAGAATATATATTGTTAGGTGCAACGTGCCCCTTTGGGATTTTTAATCCAAATCCAATCCAACATTATGCTCGCACCATAGAATAGTGATTAGATCCATCTACAAGCGAATTATACATAGGAACTTATAATGCTCTTCTCGTCTTATCCTCTCGAATATTACTATTCAACTCTCTTGACGCGACTGACCTTGACAACCGTAAATACTCTGCTTAGCCTTTTATAAACGAATTAATTAGTCACCACGACCACCGCCACGATTTGCTTTTAGTCTTTTCGGTAAAGGCCAGATGCACCGGCAGGTAAAAGTTCATGAATCTGTAATTAATTTTTACATTTTCAAAATTTCGTTTCTTGGAAAATGGAATAATGTTCGTGCGGACACGTTTCGTCAAATATATGATTTTAGTAACAACTCAGCTAATTATTCAAAATCCTTACTAAAAAAATGGCGGAATTTGCAGTCAAAGTTGTTGTTGGCAGGCAAATATTGAAACTTTCTCATTGATCCAGTTATGTAAAATAAAGATGCCTCGAAAAGCAGTGAAGCAGCGAAGAGCGAAGGAGATAAAGTAACGCTACAGAGAAACACAATGAAACAGGAGTCAGTCGTTTGGTGGGAGTCAATGAGGCAAGTCCGAAAATCGCATAGTCGACAGGCAGAAGTTGTCAAGGCGTGTTGTAATATCGTACATACGTCAAGCCTTTGTTGCTTACTTTTAATAATTCTTTATGTTCGTGAATTTAAATTATCTTACAATAAACATTAGTCGAATATCTTTAATTCAGATAATGAAAATATTGTGATTCTTTACATTCTTTACACCTTTACACATATTAAAGTGATCAGATGAAAAAAAAAATTATAAAAGCGACCTGGCAAAGACAAAAACAATTAACCATCACTTCGATTAACATTAATGTTTGAAGATTTTATTCTTCTGTAAAGTTGTAGACTGCGTTCAGTATGTTTCCTTGAGACTCGTTTTTAATTGCTTAACTTCCATCCAAACGTGAAATAATTCTGTTACTTAAGGTCGTATGATTTAGATAAAGTGAAGATAGAGAAATTATAAACGTTTAACAATCCCTGTAACCCAAATTTAGACCGCACCTTTTAAGCACCTTTTTAAGTATGTTCGAATCGTTTATTTGCAAAGTGGCCCAAGTCAATTTCTTATTTAAATACATGTGTTTTTATTATTTTAATACGAACATTTACTTAAGGGATGGCCTATGCAATATATATAGCATGGTGATGATGAGAAAGAAAAAAGGATGTACACACCCTAGCTCGCGGGGATAAGTGCTACACAATTACCATAACTACGACGAAGTGTGATCTACGATACTGAGATTTAGACCCAGCGAATAAAGACTTGGTGGTCGCGACTCTTACGTGATCGTCTATGCGACAGTTTAAAAATCCTATGTGTATTGACTTGAAAAAAAAAAAATCGACTTGGATCATTTGGCCCTAGGATTTGCATTTAGTTCACAATCGTGTTAATTACATTTTTCAAAGCAAACTACACAGGTATTTTTATTAAAATAAAATTTTTCATGCGATAAAGTATTAACCCATACATTAGGTGTCGAAATGCAACTTTGCCTAAAAAAACAATAACATGTTGAAATTGACCACTACAAGCTGAGATACGAGTATGGGTAAAAGTGGGTGTATTAGTTGTTGTTACTGCAAACAGCAGCTGCATTTGCCAGACATGTATGTGTATATGTGCACAATTGAGGCCCATTAGAAATTTGATTGCAATCCACAATGTTGTTGACTACCTTCATATCATCGCACTGACACTAACTTATGTATGTATGTAGTCGTAAAGTATATCGAAAGTATATCTACGATATTTTTGCAAGGCAATGTGTAAGTGAGTATGGAGCTTAAGGGATTCTTGTAGGTTTCAAATTCTTACTTGCATATGCATGCATACGTGTGCAGACGAAAACATGAAGCACCTACTGGACGACGACGTTGGTTATGCTAAATTAGAAATGAGTTCACATTGTTGTTGGTCTTGTCTTTGTTGTCCCTATCCTTTTATGGGAAGGGTGATGATTTTAATGTATAATGAATACGACGCTGACTAGGACAATGTATAATTTCGTATATATACCATATTATATGTGTATATTTACATATATATGTGTATACATATATATATTTATATTATATATATATATCTAAAATATATGCGAGCTTGTGCGTGTGTGTGCATATATGTGTGTGTGTGTGTGTGTGTGTGTGTGCATATTGTAGAGTTTACTGAACTCATTTTAAAGTCCTTCTCTCTTGCCATTTTCGGTTTTTTTCCGTTCGCTCTCTTTTTCTTTTACCTATACTCTTACTCTCCCCCTCCCCTTTAAATGTAAGAACTCTTACTACTAGAAAACTTAGTTAATTTATGAGCTGAATGGCGTATATTGTAAGTGCTGTAGCCATCGTGCTCTTCATAAGGCCTTTAATGAGTTCGTAACCTCCCCTCTGGCTGCTCTTTCACTCTGTTGCCGCTTGCACATCTTGAAACAATCTCCGAAATATGCCCTTAAGCAAACGGAATTATATAGCAACCAAATGTAGAACTTGTAGATAATGAAAGGGTGTCGTGCAATGAATGCTTCCACATATGCATACGTTTCTATGCATGTAAGTATGTGGGTGTATGCAGAGACGTGCTATAATTAATTTTGCTTATTGCATGTAAATGAGTATTTGTGTGTGTGTGTGTGTTATGCAGGTTATAGAAAACACAGATAGAGAGAATTCGAAAGCTTAATATAAGTAAAACTGTGTTTATTAATGCATTTATGCATTCAAGCTAGAGCAACAACAGCAAAGCAAAATTATAACCAAACGTCAACAACAACAGGACAGGACAAGCGTTAGGACTTCACCTAAACATTGGCACACACATACACACACACACACACACACACGCATGCACGCAAACAAATACACATTGACAGAAAACCTTACACGTATACCTCTACTCGTATACATTGTCGCACAGACACTTGCAAACACGCTGCTCTCCTACTATATAACTTGCTCTTTTTTATAGCTTAAGGCGTCGAAAGACGTATGAGACATTTCCATATGTTGCTACCGTCGCCGCTTGTTTGTAACTCTTCTCTCCATGTGCTTTCTACGGTCAATGCATTTGTATGTTTGGTCAACTACGAGTCGTCGGTATGGTCGACATGCATAACAACAGCAACAACAACAACAACAACAACAAAAATAATAACGATGATTGCAGACATTCGTTATAAGGATTTGCATGAGTTTAGAGAATTATGATTTTTGTATACGTATTGAATAGAAAAGTTTTTGTGTAGAATGGAATCGTGCTAGTGGAGTATTGGTTTTTATGCCGACCTCTACTTAAGTGTATAAAGTTATTCTAAAGTAAAATTTTAATTATAAACTATTTTGTAAAAATTCGAAACAAAATAAGACAAACACTTGAGAAATGGCTTAAGTCCATATATATCTAGACCGATATTTTGCTATATATTACCTTAAATATCCCGCACTTTTGGATATTAATTAGCTGAGCAAAAATAGATAATAAAAAATTTTAATATTTTAATAGTAAATCAATCTACTTAGACCGCTTTCAAAACGCTTGACCTATATGGACTAAAATGAGTCAACAATTCTTTCGATTTAATCAGATCAATTAATCTAGTTTTTCGTTTTAAAGCAATTACCATATTTCGTCTCTTCTTGTCTAAATAGCGTCAGTCAATATCATATCTACTCACATATATCGTAATGAAATAAAATGAAGAAGAAATCTATTGAAATTTCATTTTTTCAGTCACATCAACATCACAATGCCTAACTGACATGGCGGAAGGTTGCGAAGAGGCTGAAAGCAACAGTAACAATCGTAACGCCGATAACGCCCCAACAATGCTTGGTACCGTTTTGCCATGTGAGGCTGCCATTACTGCCTCATTGGGGGTATCCGGTGGTGGTGTAATGAAACGCGAATTTGTTGATGCGGCCAGCAGTATATTAGGCAGCAGCTTAGCAGCTGCTGCACATCTTACCGCTAGCGTTAGTTTAGCGAGTCCTACGTCATCAATGGCTTCACCTACTACACTATCAAATACTACAATTACTCCTTCAACAACAGCACCAATAGCAGCAACCTCAATAACACAACAGCAACAACATCAGCAGCGTCTCACGCCGACACCAAAAACATCTGCAGCACTTGGTCCCCTCGTTTGTTCTACAACTCTATCTTCTTTGTCGTCATCTTCGTCGTCCTCGTCGTCATCGTCAGCCTCCTCGAATTCATCTACATCTTCATCTTTATCATCATTGAATTCTTCGACGACAGCTTCATCGTCGACCACTGCTGCCATCGCCACGAATTCAAATACAAACAAATCGCCATCTGTTTCACCATATTCAAGTGTGGTGGCGGTCGCCTCGCTGCGTGGTATCTCACCGCATTCGCCAACTGTTTTGACTTCAATGGGCCCAAGTCCACCAATCGGCCACAATAGCAATGGTAGTTGCGGTTCCGTTTCCGCTAATGTAACAACAACAACGCCAGCTGTGCCAAGCAATTGTAATTCACAATCGCCCGTTCACGTAACACTGAATATTAAAACTGAAGCGGTAAGTACAACTTGCTCTTCATTCATATATTATATTAAGTAAGTACAAATTTTAATTCATATCATAGAATATTAGATTATAATGGAAAAAATGTCATATTAAAACTGTGATAATAAAGGAGAATATGGTTTTCAAAAAGAATTGACATGTTTTTTGCAAAAGACATATATATATATATATAACAGAATATTTAATAGTTATGTCACATTTTTCAAAACAAGTAGACCTCATGTATTCCTGCAAACATATTTCTTGTTATATCCCACTGTTTGCTGCTGAATGTAATTTAAAATATTTTTATTTTCACTTCACCACTTGTACTACAAGGGTATGCTAAGTTTGTGCCCATGTATGGAACACCTTTTATTACACTGAATGATGACCGTGTCATTTTCTAAATCGATCTAAGCGTGTCTGTCCATCTATCCGTCGTTTTGGTTTTATTCAACCTTCAGGTCGCAACTTTTTTGATATTTGGAGGACATTTGGAGGAGAAAATGGCTCTAATCGGATTAGTTTTTCGACCACTTTATATATAACGTTGCAAAAATGACTACATGAAATAGAATGGTGCAGGGTGCGTGAAGGAAAGATGTATTCAACAGACAAAATGGCCGCACATTGGTCACTTTAGTCTTCGGAAAATAATATTTAGTGATGTCGGAAATGCATGACAGGCGACCTGCTCAGATAGTTGTTCACCTTTTTCCTTCTTTTTGAAGACAAAAGTAAATTAGTACAAAACAACAATGGCAAATACAAGATGATCTTATTGATCTGCTTGTATAACCCGGTACAGAAATGCGCCTTTCATCAAAGTCAAACTCTGGTAGTCTACTTTCATATCTCGTCTAAATTAAGAACTTAAACGTCTTGAAAAGCTGTATCGATAGCTAACTCGCGGCATTCTGTTATTATTCATATTTAGGTACAGCAATAAATTCGAAGACTAAAGTCTGAGAGCATTAGCATCTAAGGCTAGCGACTCTTTATTGAAAACTCTACCGCATTTGAGATTTGAACCCATGACCATTGAGTTGTTTGTCGAGATTCTTTGCTTACTCAAACTCAATTCGTTACCAAACATTACTAGAAAACTGAAAACAAAAACAACTTAATGAATGAAATTTTCTAAAAATTGTCCTCATCATGTGTCAGCTGGAAAATTTTGCAAAAATATTAATTAAAGTTACTTAAAGAACTGTGGCAAAGGCCACTCACAAAAGTTGAGGCTTGTATAAAATTAGCTGAATCATTGGATATATGGAGAAACAAACAAACATCATAAATATGAATAGGGGCAACATAAATACAACAAAACAAGGAATTCATTGTTCGAGTATATAGTGCACTAAACTGTGTGATGATTATGCTTTTCCGAAGCCCGGTCGACAGTTATTCACATATATATATATATATATGTAAATACATGTACATAGTACACTTTATCGCTTTCTACATTTTCTTTATATTTATTTCCTCAGGACTTTCATAAAATAATTTATTTACTCGGAAAAGCTGAATTATACCTACATATAACCTTCTGCTCCCTTTCCATGCCCAAAACTAAGAACTATTTATTAATAACACTTTGAAGTATGCAAAAAACCTTTTTTTTTCTCTTGCTCATAAGCTATGCCGCTCTTTCCAATTGTACGAATGAGGTTTTTGCATAATACGCGTACACGCATATAAGTTAGAGAAAATATATGTAAATTATTTTTATGAATTTATTTTTATTCAAATAGCATACTTTGTTAAAACCAAAATTCACTACGAAAAGTCTTTAATCAATAACAAGTACGAACATTATAGTCGGTCGAAGCCGACTGTTAGATATCCTACATTATCTCGCTTAGTACGCTCGTTTATTCGCTCGTTTTAGTAATCATACACCAAGAAGTACACATTATTTCCATGCAAGGTCATAACTTTCACGAAAGTTCACATATTGGAAGGTTGGAGTTTCTCCCCATAAATTACTTGCGTTGCGTGATAGCGCCTAGAAGAAATAGGCTTATGTGGTCCAAATTTGTTTCCTGTGAAATTGTTTGCGCTGAAAAGTTACTATGAATTAATTTTCATCATAATTTATTATAAATTAAGCCTTTTCCGGAAGGGCTTCAATCAGCAAAAACTTGCAACTCACTATTCATCACTACCGTTAATCTAAAAAGTAGCGTCAATTTTTCCCGAGTAGACTTACCAAATCGTATATACGCCATTGAAACGGGGCGGCATGGACAATCAAGCGTCAGAAATCTTGTATATATTCCTGACCGATATTCAATTCCAAGCCTATTTCAGGGTGGTCATCTATCCATCTCTATAATTGGCTATGATAAGGATTGTGTTGGCCGCAAACATGAAACTATTGCCTACTGAAAGTCCTTGTATGCAGGCTATTATTGATAATGGCCAACTCAATACAATATCAATTGTGAAGATGTATGTTTTCCAAGGCAGCGAAAAAATAACCGGTTTTCTATCTGTTTTCAATCATTCATCGATGGAAATTTTATGACCGTAAAAATTCAAAAGAAATTTCGAGCAGAGCATATATCCCCTATCAAACTAAATATACTCGTTTCATAGCAGCTAAAGCACAAATATACTCTCGTGCAAATGTTTTAGATATTTTTGTAACTATCCTACCATTTTAAGCAATTTTCGATTTCAACTATGTGTCGATTTAGTAAAGTCACTTTAAAGGTAGGGATAAAAGCAGTGTCCGTGGATTGCTTTTAAAGACCAACAGTTGCCGAAAAGATGAATAAATCCAAGTTCGCCGTTGTCTGCATATAACGTTTCACTATTTGTTTTAGTCAATTTTATGCGAAAAAGAAAATAATTTTCACGAAATTATTGTATTTTGCACTCGGCACTGCACGTGTATCTACAGCGTCACGTTTTAAACACTTACAAATTGTAGTTACTTGTCAAATTAATGTCATCAACTTAGTATATACATTGGGACAAAATACATTCAGCCAGAGATTAACAAGTCAAGCTTTATGCAAAGGGAACTTGTTAGGTAAACTACCAATGCAGAGACCAGGGAAACAAAGAGATAATCGTCGAGACAGACAAACAGACATCTAATCTATCATTGAACCCAAAAAATCCAAACAAATTCCTGTACAGACTAGACTGTCGCTACGAAAAAGCAATTGTTGTTACTTCCCTTTTCTTTTATTTTTCTTTTTTCGCTAACTATGCATTGCATGTGATGACACTACCCAGAGACTGAAATTGAAACTAAAAACTCTACTTGACAGATATCTACCTACAAGCATGTGAATTGTTTTCGTTGGTGGTTTTCTTCGTTTCAGTTGACTTATGTTTTTCATTGTATTCGCATTGTGTTATGATGACGATTAGCAAAGGCTTGCACTGTAAGCTTATATAAAATAAACGACGTGTTCTTGGATGACATTTCATGGTGTTACCGATTGACTGACTGCATGTTTTAGGATCTTTAACATTTGAACTTGACATGCTAGCAGTGCGATTATTCATAATTTTTTGCTTTTCTTTTTTTTTTTTTTTTTTTTTTTTGTGCAAAAAAAGTAATTAGGTTACAATTAAAAACTGGTTCATGCATGCATTTGCAACAATGTTGTCAAGTTTTATGAAAATGTTCAATAAAATGAATCGTTTACGATTATTTGGTAATTATATCGTTCGCTAGATTCTGCTATTGTCACTACTTGATTGTAAATTGTCTTTATAGCATTCATAATTATTGAGGGACTTTCGGTTTTTTTTTTTTTTTTTTTTTTTGAATTCATACGGTTGCTGATAATGTTATTCTGGTTCAACTATTTGCGGGTGTTGATGTTCAATTTAAATTAAAAGTGATCGTCGTCTGATATATAAATTACTTCTTACCCATCACGGTATCTACTATCTGGACTATCAATTAATGTTAATCGTTACTCACTATAAGTTTTATATATAGGTTCAAAATCTATTCGGCATAACAGCGCACTTAGTTTGTCGCGTTCCATTCTCCAAGATCTTTTACTTTCGAAAGCCCCGCCTTGTTGGGTCCAGCATTCGTTTTTTCAGATTCAATGAATTTTAAGACAGATAGTAAATTATCCAGCGAGGAATGTAGAGGATATTTTTCAACATTATGACAGAAAATGTAAAAGAATTGAAAAAGTAAAAATTTAATCACTTATGACTTTGTGGGCGATTTTTTCCATTTTCTCACATGACTAAATCCTCCACAAGGTAAATGTATAAAATCTTAGCCTTATGTCTCACCTAATTTATGAGTAGTGACACAAAAATCTACAAATTATATGTTGATGAAATAGATGTATGTCCATGTATATCCACTGCTTTGGATTTTGCTCTAACCAATTCGTTCCATTTTCATTACCACCCTGCGTACAAGAAGGGCGAATATTTTTGCTAAATCTGCTCTGGCGACCAGGAGAAAATTTATCGTCCACATTACATAGGTAAGCAACAGAAGGACAGACGAACATGCTTGCATGGATTTGCAATTTAATGCTGACCAAGAATATATATATATATATATATACATGCATATACTTTATGGGGTCCATGGAGCTTGGTTATGGGCGTTTTGATAATATATTCCTCATCCTCGCATGATGGTTATAAAAATTATACTTAAAGTAAATGGTCCCCTACTTCTGTATGCTTGAATGAAGCCGAGAAAAAAAATAAATAAAAAAATAATAAAAAAAAAATATATATATCTCGTATTGTCTTAGATGTATTGGCCGACTTCTTTTATGGAATTATGTTAAACCGTAAATTTAGGAATGGTTGCCCCATCCGGTTTTCAGACACCGTTATAAAGTTACTAGTTGAAGTTCGAAGAGTGCAATGTTTCTTAGCGAAACGAGTTTCATAATTTTTCTTATTGCAATAGTACAAAGGGCTTACTTAATATATTTATAAATGTATAATATTGCAACATTGTATCAAACTTAACGCAGTAATTGCTAATAATTGCTGAA